GAAGGCTTAAAGACGAATCTAAATTGACTTTGTACGTGCTAATTGTGCAGAAAGTTAGTAAGCCGATTTTTTCTTTTTTCCTAAATAAGGAAGGATTAGATATACAGAACATATAGGTTGTGTTTGGTTGTAGGGTTAATTTTCTTATGTAAAAAAAGTAAGAGTGAATGATTCTACAAATTTTCCACTATATCCAGTTGGCTTTTTAATAATTTTGCACGAGTTTTGTTTCAGTATGATGAGAAGTAGCAAAAACAAATAGTATTAACTCTAGTTAGTAGGAGGTGAGAACATTTCCTGTATATATATATAGCTGGAGGTTGATAAAGCTGTCATCGCGTGTACACAGGCCAGTAATATTTCTTGCGATGTGTGGAGGCCGAAAAACCGTTAGATTCAAGGGTTATTAAAATATATACAAAGGGGAAACTGATGTTTTCGGTTTCACGTGTACGTTTGAGGTGTTGTGAATTTAGATATATGAGAAACATAGGGACAAAATAGTACAAAATGGTATCTACATACCTTCTGCAGTAAAACTATTTCAATTTGATGAGACAGGCTCAGGGAATGTGGAGATGATAGGGATACCTTACTGAAGATAATATCACAGAGACGTTGTCGAGAACAGTTTCAATGAAAGTTATGATGACGAGTGCATGTTTTAAAAGACAGCCATCAACAACATGAAACTGATGTGCATCCGTCTATATGAAACTCAACCGCTCATAAAACAACTTTACCAAACATAAACACATTTGTTTAAAATCAAACTAAGTTTACCATACAAGACAGTGACAAATTAAGGCTTGGGCGGTTTGGGCGACCGACAGGAGCCCATGATCTAAGGGGGTCCCATACAGAAACAACAGTAAATTATAAATCAGATGAAATTTATAAATATCTTATTATGCTAACTCTCTCAATACAGGCTTGGTCCCAAAGACAGACCACGTGACCCTTTTTTACTAGTACATAGTTTTAATACCATAAGGTTTAATACAGTATGTGTATCTTCACAAAATTTGGCAGACGTTTAGTAAACACTAAAAGTCGTTTTTAATGAAATATGTTTACTAAATGTTTGACTATGAATACATATACTTTTTTTTACTTGTCCGAGTGCAAATTAATATTTATGTTAAGATTAAAAATACATTTCTTTGTCTCAAAAGTATCAAATTTCAATTGTATAATTTAAAAACCTCCTAAATAAATTTCAAACATTTTTACAAGTCAAACTTTATATTTTATCTGTTATTTCCTCTACCCTAACTCTATACAGGGCTTGTAAATTTGACTGACTTCGTAACCACCAAATAAATCTAGATGACCCATTTTTTCTTTCTAGGATGAATTCAAATTGTAATTAGATTTGTTTATCCTAAATAGTTATAAACTCGTAACAGTGTGAGTTTATTTATACTTACATTTTATTGTTTTATTGCCCTTTGAACTGTGTCTAAAGTGACTAAACAGTCTATCTATAATGAACATAGAATGTGGCAAAAGTGGCTAAACAGTCTATCTATAATGAACATAGAATGTGACAAAGGTGACTAAACAGTCTATCTATAATGAACATAGAATGTGGCAAAAGTGGCTAAACAGCCTGTCTATAATAAGCATAGAATGTGACAAAGGTGACTAAACAGTCTATCTATAATGAACATAGAATGT